TGCCCTTGGAGGTTTTTTTTTTTTCAAAAAATTTTTGGCATTTCGTCCTTTGGAACAGAGTTCGGATAGCATAGATTCATTTCCCCATACAGCGATCAGATCCAGTACCTCCCGTTCGGTCCATGCAGGAGCTCTTTTGCGATTCTGGGACTCCATGGTCACCTCTGCTGATGAGATCTGCACGGTCACCTGTGCTGATCAGCTTGCCACACTGACCAAACAGGAAATGAAATTCAAAAGTTCCCGGGGCTTTTCCTGTGTACTTGGCCAGTGCATCTGAGTTGAAAGTGCTGTCCAGAGCGGTCACAATGGAGCACTCTGGGATAGCTCCCGGAGACCAATACCATTGTGGAAGCAGAGAATTGCGTCCACACTACCCCAAATTCGACCCGGCGATGTCGATTTCAGCACTAATCCCCTCGTCAGGGAGGAGTTTAGAAATCGATTTTAAGTGCCCTTTAAGTCGACAAAAATGGCTTCATCGTATGGACGGGTGCAGGGTTAAATCGATCTAAGGCTGCTAAATTCAACCTAAACGCGTAGCGTAGACCAGGGTTTAGTTTCTTTGCTTTATAGAAAGCACATAGCTCCTCCCCCAGCTGGACTCATCTTTTAATTGAGTCTGGCCCACCCTCCAAGTGCAACCAGCTGTTAATGGGCCCACGTTAACCATTTCATTGCCTGTGTGGGGTAAACACAAACTCAAACTTAATACTATTTGAATCAAAGTATTTTACAAGTAATTATTAAATTTGTTTTAATACCTGTGGAAGTTCTGTACCTATCTTATTAAAAGTGCATTTAGATTTTCTAAATAATTATGGAATAATAGGAATAGGTGTGAATGATAGATCATCAGCCTATTTTAAGCTACGCTATAATTAAGATTGGGCTTCTGAGAACACAAATAAATTAGCTTTTTAAAAAGTCACTAAACTTGAAAAGATTTACTTTGTATATCACTATCCACGGAAGCTGCATAATATCTAAGAGTGTTCTGGAAAGATAAATTTGGGGTCTTGAAAAGCTACATAATGTCCCTGTTGAGTTAAACAGAAATCAGTGTAAGGTTTTAACCATATTTTTGGGAGTCTGGGCCAGATTTATATTGACCATGCTTATGAGCACACTCTTAAAATATTTCCATTCCTAAGTTCTTTCTTTAGTTCGGAAAGGAGCGTTTTAAAAATATATATATTGTTTCTACACTATTAGAGGTTTAAATAAATGTTTGTTAAAAAAAAATCTTAATGAAGTGCAAAAGTGCTGTGGCTTTTTCATATTCTGATACTCATTTTCATTAAATATTCATTTAAAAGAAATTTACTATGTGGTTTTAATACACTATACATACTTTTAAATTGTCACCAGATGCATTTGCATGAGGTATGTGGAAATAATGTCTTGAAATGAAACACTTAAGTCTTTTAAAGGTTTATTGTATGTTTGGAATGCTTGTATGTTTAACTCTCCCCAATCCTTGCATTTATAAACCTCCTTTGGACTTGTGTTTCTATAGTCTCTTTTTTGCACAATTGATGTAAAAATGTTCCAGTTAAATAACATGCATATGGAGGGGAAATGTATATGTTAGGAATGAATATGCATATATTTTTATGTATTAACTAAAATGGGATATAAAAAGTTTGGCACAAATGGGTATCTATATATGTTAGCCCGTTTTAAGTATTTTAAAATGTATCGCTAGCAGTCAGTCTAGAGATGAAAAGAAGTAAAAAGTTAATATGTTGAGCATTCACTCATATCAAATCAGAGTCTGAGGATCCCTTCTACTGCTGAGTAGGATGGCAGTCATAACCTTGGTAAAAAGAGTTTGCATACCTCAGCACAAGAAATAGAATTGTATCCATTTACAGTAATTGCTGTAGTATGGAGTACCGTATCTAAAAGAAAGCTGAGGAAAAAGTGCACATTTTTTTAAAAAATCCCACCTACATGCCAAAAAAAGTGTGTATATCTGTATATCTTACACACACTGTATACACAAAGAGCCAATTCTGTTCTTAGTTACTCTGGTGTAAATTTGTAACTACACTTGAACACACTGGAATTTCTATACACTGCCATTAACATAAAAGAGCAGAATAAGGTCCTGTATTTAGAATGCACACATGAAAATTAATATAGTGATATATAATTGTGTGTGGGGATCTAATCAGGATGTAATTTTATCTGCTACACAGTCTAGATTTGATTGAATTTTTATATTGCAACTATAGCACTCAACATTTTTCTGAAGAATTATGCATGCCTAATAAACTTAACATAATTCCAGTTTCAGTTTTAATTAGCAAGATGTAATAGTTTGAGAAAATAAGTGTGATATACCTTTCTCCTTCTGATAATCCCTATTTGACATTCCATTAGGTACATTAAGTAACTGAGATTTAAATATTGTTTATTGATTCAAACTATATAGTCATACATTAAATGTTTGGCATTCAAATGGAATCTGATTTTGGTGTATTAAAATTTTAACTCTAAGATGAACATCATTTTCATGGTTCTGGTGGGAAGTTATTTTATGGGAATATTATTCTTCCTTATAGTTGACACAAGAAGAATGTAGGGGTACACTATACAAATATAGATCTGAAGAATTGGATATAGATGTAAGTATTTGTTTTTGGCTTACTGTGTTGATATTCTGATGTAGAAGTTTCTACCCTGGTCATAAAATTTAGATGCAAAAACTACTTAATATAAAACTAGTAGCAATTGCTTTAGAAGTTGTGGGAAATATTCCTGGATGTTTGAGCAAATATCCCATAGCTGGTTTTGAATTTATTGGGGTTGGGGAGATACTAGTACTGTAAGTGAATTTGTAGGGGGGGGGTGTGTGTGTATATGTGTGTGTGTGTGTGTGTGTGTGTGTGTGTGTATGTGTATGTGTATGTGTATATGTATATATATATATATATATATATATTTGTGTGAATGTGTGTTTAAAAAAAAATACCTCGAATCGTCAAGAGACTTACAATACTTATTTATGTAAGTCTCTTGAATCAACAAGTCTACACTAAGGGCTTGTCTACATTACCCGCTGGATCGACGGGCAGTGATTGATCCAGCAGGGGTTGATTTATCACGTCTAGTCTAGATGCAATAAATCGACCGCCAAGCGCTCTCCCGTCGACTCCGGTACTCCACCAGGGTGAGAGGCGCAGGCGGGGTCGACGGGAGAGCGTCAGCTGTTGACTTACCTCAGTGAAGACACCCCGGTAAGTAGATGTAAGTACATCAACTTCAGTTACATTATTCACGTAGCTGAAGTTGCGTAACTTAGATCAATCCCTCCTCTCCCCTGCCCCCTGTGTAGACCAGGCCTTAGATGCACTGTTTGTAGACCTGTAGGCCTTTTCTAAAGTACATGTTCCATATGCAGTTTTAAAATGGGTAAGTTTGTGAAATCAATTACTTTAAAGCTATTAAATGCATATAGTCCTTTTTCATGACTACTGTCCACGTCAAATTTCAGTTTTTTAAAGCTTCAGCCACTATAAAGGGATTACAGGAAAAATTAACATTACATTTACACCTCGTTTGTTCTCATTTTAGTTATAAACATGCACAAAACTGGCTCAGCTGGTTTCTGTGAGTGACAGAAATGGAAGGTTATGTATTCACTGAATATAGTATGTGAGATAAGGCACGTTAGTTGAGGCTAAATATTACAACATGAATGTGTCCTGTCCAACTGAGCCATGTACATTAATTGTAGAAGATTTTGCAGATGCTTTATTGCCTAAACTCAGGCCATAGAAGAAAGTATTTTCTAAGGGTATGTCTACACTGGCAAGTTTCAGCACCACGAGTTATACCACTTTTATTAAAACGCTGCGATTAAACAATGTTGCATGTCCATACTGTGCTCCTTGTGACACTGGAGCGCGCATCCACATTAGCAGCCCTTGCAACGGCAAAGACAGCAGTGCATTGTGGTAGCTATCAAGCTGTGCAACTGGATGCAGGGTGCTTTGGGAAGGGTTTGCAATGCCTCATGGGGCACGCACAGCATCACATGATGCAGGTTTCTCAATCCCATTGTTCCTTGGGCATCCTACTACACTGCCAGCTGATTTTCAACTGAAGTTGGGGGAGAGGGGGAGAATGTGTGTGTTTGGGAGGGGGAGAGACTGTGTTTTGGGGGACAGTGTGTGTCAGCATGCTGTCTTGTAAGTTCAGACAGCGGCAGGAAGTAACCAGTCTTGGGGGAGGGGAAACCCTGACATCAGCCCCTGCCTCCCTCCCTGCGCTCTCTGCACAGCGCGCGGTGCTTTGGAAGGGGAGGGGTGCATGTCTCCAGGGCAGCCGAGTTCAAAACAGTGAGCAGAGTGGTCACTTGAGGCATTATGGGACAGCTCCGGAGGCCAATTGCAGCTCAGAAAGCAATCAAGTGTCTACACTGGCAATAGAGTGCTGGAGCCTCTGCACAAATAGCCTTACGACTCTCGTCAAGGTGGGTTTTTTTGCAGCGCTGCAACTGAGGAGTTTCTGCACACAAAGTGGCTTAGCAGTGTGTACACGTTTGCAGTTTGAGTGCAAAAAGCTGCTTTACTGCACAGAAACTTGCCAGTGTAGACAAGCCCTAAATGTTTCACCACTTGAGTCTAACACAAAAGACAGGTGGGTACAATGCCTTACTTGACTTGTTATGTTAAATACAAGTATTTTACCTTTTCCACTCATTTGATGACAACTCACTTTACTTTCTAAGTCTAATACAGTAAAAGGTAAAAAGCTGTTTTATAAGTTTACATTTGAGATTTAGAAAAAAGAAACCGTATTTAACATGTAAGCAAAAATGTCATTGAGAGCAGATTTGAGTGTTTCAGAAAGCAAGATAAAAGGTCAGTGCAACCTTACAACATAACTCAGTATATATTTCATACCACTGTGTGTTAATATGCCTAAAACGGAGGCTGAAAGTGGATTCATCTCCGGATTCTCCACAGCTTTTCTTAAATTAAATTAAAGCCATTTCCACTTGTTGGTGCTGAGACCATTTGCTTCATCTGGTCTTTCTGTAAGTACTTTGGGCCTGGTTCACCCTACTAGCACAAAGGGAGGCAAACTGCACTTCCAGGCCAGCAGGGCTGTTTGATCCCTAGGGAAGGTCAGTCAGTCTGTTTATACCTCCTCCGGCCCTGGGGAGTTAGCCTTACTCTCCAGCTGTTGAAAGCTGTCCACAAGATATTCTAATTAAGTATATTGCTTAGGGTTACCATATTTTGAGTGTCCAAAAAGAGGACACTCCACGGGGCCCAGCCCCGCCCCAACTCCGCCCCCTCCCCTGCTTCCCGCGAACATTTGATTTGTGGGAAGCCTGAAGCAGGCAGCAGGTAAGCTGGGGGGGGGGAGGGAGGGGGAGGAGGCGCGGCCCAGTCTAGCCCCCCCAACCGAGCGGCTCCCTCCGGCGGCTGGCCCAGGCCCCGGTGTCTCCAGCCTGGCTCGGCTCAGGCCCTGGGGTGCCGGCCCCGGCCCAGCGCACCCCCGGCCCCAGGCCAGCCCCTGGCCCAGCACCGCTGGCCCCGGCCCAGCACCCAGCGGCACCGGATTTTCCCGGACATGTTCGGCTTTTTGGGATTTCCCCCTGGACGGGGATTTGAGTCCCAAAAAGCAGGACATGTCTGGGAAAATCCGGACGTATGGTAACCCTAGTATTGCTGGGCATCCTGAGCAGCGCCCCAGTGCAGTAAATGTTGCTGGTGCCTTATGCTGCTCTGACTTTCAGGTGGACTTCTGATTGGATGTATGCCAGCAGAATGAGTCAAGCTAATGTCTCTCTGAATTAGTTAAATTCTAGCAGTATGTGTGTAAAGTTTTATTTGACTGTAAAATCCATTACATTTCATTACAGGAAATGTGAGAATCTTTATATACCCTATGTACTCTGATGGGAATAAAAACCATAACTGACAACAGATTTTATTTTTGCCTATGCTGGAATCTCTTTGTCAGTGTAATGGAAGCCTATACTACTGATGAGTTCTTCAGAAGAATGCTGGCCCTTAAAATAAAACTTGCAATGGAAAACTTTTTTAGAGAAACCATTGCCTCCGCAGAACACATCAGCAGCTGAAATTCAAATGTCTGTGTGTTTTAGCAATTTGATAGTACTTAGTACTGTGTAAAGTAAAAGACTTAGTGCTGCCCGTCATCTTCAAGCTAATGGCATTGCAAAACAAATAATCTATCACCAGAGTAGTCACACATACGTGTTTAACAGAAGGGTGTGAAAATAGAACCACACAGGGCTCCCACAAGATTGCTTTCGGCTTTGGTGAGTAATGGCTCAAAACAACCTTCTGTAATATAGGATAGAAAAGAATGGATCTACTTAATATGTACCCCAACCAAGGCCTGCAGGTGGGTCAAAATAGTGTGATCAGCTGTAGTAAAAGCTGCTGTGAAATCTAGAAGACTTAGCTGTAGAATAACTAGTTACTACATTTGACCCATGCTGTTTGAAATTACAGTAATACTCTAGTTAATAGGGCCTTTTTCAGAGTCTTAGGCTGCTTTGAAAATTCAATATTCAACTTTACAGCATTTAAAGTTAAATATATAGTAGTAACAAAACTTTAATACTCATGAAACGATTTGATACTGTGTTAATATAGATGATATGCAGAATAATAAATACTAATTACAACCATCTTCTCTTAAACTAGACTAAGCTTAGCCGATTATGTGAACAAGATAAAGTGGTACAAGCACTGGAAGAGAAACTTCAGCAGCTACACAAGGAGAAAGTAGGACAATTATATTTATTACCTAAAATGGATGTTATTTTACATGGCTATTATCACAACACTGATAAAGTAAAAAGAAAATCAACCCAATGATGCAGAACATTAAAAATTAATTCTTTTTATTATAATAGTACACGCTTGAGCAAGCTTTGCTATCAGCCAGTCAAGAGATAGAAATGAATGCAGATAACCCAGCTGCCATACAGAATGTAGTCTTACAGCGAGATGACTTACAGAACGGACTGCTTAGCACTTGTCGAGAAGTGTCTCGAGCTACTGCAGTAAGTAATAAATTTTTTGGCAGTAAAACTCAATGAGGTGTTAAGCGATTTTTCTTCATGTTGGTACTTTTAATTGAGTTGTCTGCGGGTTCTTTCTTTATTATATCCCAGCATCTTTAAATTGTCTTTCATTTACCTCGAGCTTCTGGTGAGGCAGATAGAAAAATATGTTCTTTTTAATTCAGTCAACAGGTGAAATCTTTTGCCTTAAAAGGGACAAATGCATACAAACTGTAATTGATTTGGCAACTTTTTTCTGTGAGATGAAGAGTTGATTATAGAGTGAGTTATATAATACCAATAAACCATATCTTATTGAGAAGTTCTGATGATAACTTAAGATGCTGCACTTAATTTTCCAAAAATGTATTTGCTCCTTTGTAGATATGTTAATATACAATAGAAGCAACCACAGAGAGGTCGTATTCTCCTGTTAAGTTTACTATATGTTCTTAGAGTAGATGTAGCAGTGTGTTCCACTTAGGTATGTGTGCACCCACAATGCCAGAGCTGGAGAATTTTCCCTAGTAGTACCTGTATAGGGGCTGTGCTTGCACCTCATGGCCATAGTTCCTCCCCTAGATATATGAGGCAGCACTGCCCCGAGCCCTCTCAGTTCTTTCTTACCGCCCATGGCAGGAGTCAGAGCAGTGTGTGGTTTTCATCTCACAATCCCACTATGTTAGTGACTTTTCTAGTTGTATATAATGAATTAGTATCCATAGTATAGCGTTAGTTAGATTTAGTGTTAGTTAGCTGTAGTTTAAGTGTTTTCCCTGGTGATGGCCCTCACCAGGATTGACGTTGTTTAAGGAAGCAATCCCCTTCAATGATCCACACGTGGTGCTTGCTGTGCCTAGGTGAAGCCCATGTCAAGGAGCAGATCATTCACCAAATGGACTTAGGTGGCGAGGGATCTTCAGCTGTTGCTCAAACAGGCTTGCTTCAGCACCAAGGCCATCGTCGTCATGGAGCTGGCGCTTCTCCAGAGACACAGAGGAGTTGTTCCTTGTCAAGTGCGTCAAGGAAAAGGTCGCATAAGACTGACCAAGGTTGCTCCAGGCCCTGTGGGGACTTGTCTTCCTCCTCCAGAAGAAGCGCGGATCAGCACCAGATGAATGCCAATGCACGGGATGGAGCATGACCTGTCAACCACTTCCCAGTATACTATGTAAGGAGGGTCGGAGACACCATGCCCTTGACTCCAATTCTGGCCACGGGGTGTCCATTGAGTCCGGTACTGACGAGGATGATGCTGACATCAGCTGTTTCTAAGCCAGCGATTAATCAGGAGCCAATGGACCTCCTCTGCCTTTCGGTTCCTACCTCGCCCTTGGTCCAGGACTTTGCAGGCCTGCATCTTTTATAGCCCCATTGGCTGGGCAGGCTGCTGAAGCTGAGAGTTTGTCTGCACGGTGCCCTGAGATCTCTTTCGCAGTCAGTGGAAGTAGGGCTGGTGCTGGGCTCAGCACACATTTGGGAAGCCTTTCCCTCCCCGGAGACAGCAGGACTACCCCAGAAAGGGTCATAGGTACCATAGGAGAAAGCAGTCTGGTCTGGGGTTCGGATAATCCACATGCCCTCTCTTAGTGCCTCCCAAGCCCCCCGTTTGACTCCATTGGTCCACAGCAGTGTTCCAGTCATCTCTCCTTTCTCCCCACTTCCTCCATTTGGGAACAGGCCGACCCACTTTCATAATGCTTGGTACTCCAATCACCACTGTTGGGCTGTGTCATCCAGTTCCTTTCCATCCTTCCTCCTTCTGTCCTTCTTCAGGGACCCCTCTCAGGAAGCAGGTTTGCTCTTTACTGGCTTTGGGAGCAGCAGAGGAGGTGCCGCTGGAACATCAGGGTCATAGTGTCTATTCCCAGGACTTTCTGGTGTCCAAATCCAAGGTAGAGGTGAGACCCATTCTTGAGCTTCATGGCCTCAACAATTATATTGGATAAATGACATTCCGAATGGTCATTCTATCGACTGTCCACCCTGCGTTGTCTCAGAATGGCTGATTTACTGCTCTGGACCTTCAGTATACCTACTTCCATGTGGTGATTTTGCCAGGCCTCAGAAAATTCTTTCGATTCGTTGTGACAGTGTCATTTTCAGTACACGCTGCTTCCATTTGACTTGTCTTCTGCCCCCCTGGGTTTTTACCAAATGCATGGTCATTGTGATGGCATATTTCATGAAGAAAGAAACCCACATCTTTCTGTATCTGGGTGACTGGTTACTGAGGGGCAGGTTCAAAAAGAAAGTTCTTGCTCACATCGACAGAACTCTGCATTTGCTCAACCATCTGGTTCTCATCCTAAATACTGGAAAGTCAACTTCAGTTGCCGCTCAGAAAATTGTGTTTGTTGGGGCCTTAGTAAATTCTACACGTTCAGGAACATTTCTGCCGACCGACAGTTTTCAGGCAATTTGCCATCTTTGCCTCAGTCTGCAGTCTCAGCTTTCCACGTCAGTGTCCCAGATGTGCCTGAAGCTCTTTGGCCATATGTGCACTTGCATGCAGGTAGTCCAATTTGCAAGGTTTCGCGCGCGCTCTCTTTCACTCACTCACTCACTCACTCTCTCTTACTTGCCAGAGCATTCATTCCCTTTTCTGCCCCTTGCCAACCAGGTCTGTTGTCACCGACACGTCCCTGATGGGTTGGGGAGCACACCTGGGGTTACTGAAAGTCCAAGGTCTGTGGTGGGAGCAGGAGGCCTCACTGCATATCAACGTGCTGGAGCTTGGGGACACCTACAATGTATGTCATTGTGGATGGACTATTGGGCTCAGTGGTTCACATACTTACTGAAAATACCGACAAGATGTATTATGTGAACAAGCAAGGGGGAGCGGAGCACACATCTCCAGTCTTCTCATACTGTCGGTTCAGCATCCCCATATTGCTTCCTCTCCATCCCGAACTACTCGCTCAGAATAACGTTTGCATCCTCTATCCTACACTCAGTTCCCTGCATCTCATGACATGGCTGCTGCATGGCTAAACGAAGAGGAAGAGCGGTGTTCAGCAGCTGTTCAACAGGTACTGCTCAACAGAAGAAAGCCATCTACCAGAATGGGCTATTCAGCTAAATGGAAGAAGTTTTCAGTGTGGTCATTGGGCTATGGAATTCAACTGACGCTGGCTTCTATCCAGGACATCTTGGAGTATCCTGCTGCACCTTCAGTGGTTGGGACTTGCACTTAGTTCAATGAAAGTGCATCTGGCAGTGATATCAGCCTTTTATTCCCCACATTCAGAAAAGATCAGTCTTCTCCAATGCCATGGTAGCAAGATTCTTAAAAGGGCTTCATCTCCATTTTCCGGTCTGAGAGCCAGTTCCTCCGTGGAACTGTAACACTGTCCTAGTGGCTTTAATGTGATCTCTGTTCGAACCCCTGGTATTTTGTTCCTTTTTAGTTTTGTGTCAGAAAACTGCATTCCTGGTAACGATAACATCAACAAGGAGAGTCTGAGTTGCAGTCTCTGATGGCAGAGCCTTCTTATACACAGCTCTCCAAGGTCAGAGTGACTTTACGACCACACCCCAACTTTTTATCGGAAGTGTTTTCACAGTTTCATTTGAAGCAGGCAGTATATTTACCTGTGTTCTTTCCTAAGTCATTCATCTTCGGAGGAGCAGTGTCTCCACACGTTAAATGTCAGGCAATGTCTAGCCTTCTTTCTGGACAGGATTAAACAGTTATGTGCTTTGCCTTGCCTATTTGTGTCACATGCAGATCGTATGAAGTGTCAGACGATCTCTTCAGATGATCTCTAAATGGATTACCTCCTATATCAAGACTGTATGAACTAGCTTCAGCTATGCCTCCTCCGCGAGTGCAAGTTCATTCTACAAGAGCTCAAGCAACATCAGTAGCGTTCCTCGGTGATGTCCCAATATTGGACATTTGCAGGGCTGCTACGTGGTCGTCCGTACATATGTTTATTAAACCGTTATGCCATCACCGCATCTTTCAGGATGCAAGTTTTGGTAGGGCGGTCCTGCAGTCCTTGTTTAGGTAGACTCCAGCCCTGCCTTCTGGGGGGTACTGCTAAGTGAGTGAGTGAGTCAGCTAAGTGGAATAATTTGCTGCGTCTACTTGAAGAAGAAAGTTAGTTACTGTAACTGTAGTTCTTCAAAATGTGATGCAGAAATGTATTCCACAACCCTCCCTTCATCTTCTCTGCATTAGTCTTGTCTCGTGATATTCAGTGTGAAAGGACAGAATGGGGTCAGGGTGGTGCTGCCTCATATAGCCGGGGAAGGGCTACGACCACAAGGCAGGAGCATCACCCCTCTGTGGGTACTGCTAGGCAAAATTCTCTGGCTCCAGCGCACTGAGTGCGCACACACCTAAGTGGAGTACACGTTTGCACCACATCTTGAAGAGCCACAGTTACTATAAGTAACCTTTTCTTTTTGTTGGTTGCTGCTGTGCACAGTGGAAACATACACTGGAATGCTCTCATTTATTCTTCAGAGCTTTGGTAATTTATGAAGGGAGTCCCTCTACTGATGTAAAGTTAAGTGGATTCCCTTATTTCCCACACTAGTGTAAGCTGTTTCAAAAGGATAATTTTGTTCAAGTACCTGATTTTTGCTGGGGGAAAACTGGTTATCAGTTTGGATGGGTAATAGTATTGGACTAGATTTATGCTCTGATGTGTGCCTAATACAATCCCAATGAAGTCAGTGGGGCCACACAGAATGCAGAATTTGACTCTTTGACGTCAGGAAATACTTCAGTAATATGCGTGTGATATATTATCAAGGGATTGAATTTAAGTAAAACTTTAGTTGAAAAGTGAAATACACAGAATGGCACCTGTGGAATACTAAAGGTTGTAAAGAGAAACTTCATCCACTTGGCATAGCCCAGCAGAGTTTATATAAGAATCACCACTTGTTGCCATGCAACAGAAGCAGGGTGGGGAGTGTAAAGGGGCATTCACCTCTTGAGCACCTCCCAGCAGCTGGGTATGGTGCCACAGTCCTTTTCTCACCTCTGGTGCCCCTTGCAGGCTGTCAGCAGACCTTTGTTGGTCTTCAGTGGCTTGGCACTCATTGAGTCACAAAATCCAAATGAACGCCCTAATAAAGTATTGGAGTCCAACAAATAAACAATCTATTTCCCCTCTCTAGGATTTTCATCCCTAGCTATGGGCCCTCTAAATTCAGCTCCTTGTTCAGGCCCACACACTACTCTGGAGTCCAACCCCGGGACTCTACACACAGTAGCCACGTACTGCTTACTCCAGTCCTGGCCCTCTTCTTACTGGGCCCTTGGATATCCAGCGCGATCTCAGGGCTAGCATCCTCAGGTTCTTCTCCCTCTTCAATCTGCATGTAAGTTCAGACAGCCATAAACTCTGATACTTTTTGGGCTCCTTTTAGTCAGAGAGAGCACCCTTCTTTGCTCTTCTGGTCCCAGCCAGGAACCGACCTGCTAAGCCCCTGCAGCTTCTTTTACCTGAGCTATGATTGCTTCGGTAAGGTCTCCCTAAGCAGGCCTGGAGGACCCACCTTCACTGCTTCTGGAACAGGGTGTAGTAGGACCACAAGGCCTCCTGTAGGGAACTGCAAAGGCCAGATACACCCTGTCAGAGGGACCCTCGTATATAAAACTGTACACTAGCTCCCAACCTGTTTTAATGTTTAACAGTGAAAAGAAAAACTTAAACAGTCGCATTTTAAAATATTTGTTTCTCCATCACAGATGACTATTAAAGCAGGTTGGAATGTGATTTATAGTGTAGCGGTGTCTCAAATAACCTTTTTAGCAAGATGGATGCCTCATCACTAGGCTCAGAAGCTTTGATTAATAGCCCTGCATACAGTTGAATAAATGGAACATTTCTGCACTCTGCAAATGTTCTGTTCCCTTTATCTTCCACTGTTTTAATGGTGGATTTTTCTCTGTCCTTGTGGTCAGAGGCTGACTAGACATTATGTCATGGCTAGGGAATAGGATTGCCCCTACTGAAAACCTTTGTTAGTTTTCTCTGCTTCCAGAATGGTGCAAAAGGCAGGCTACAGACCTCCATTTGTGACAGTCATCTTGATTCTAAATTTAAACACTTTCTTCATCCTGTGTCATTTGAAACTTTTATTCTCTGTGGGCTTCTTTACTCAAGAGAAATAAATTTTTTAGACATAGTATTCAAAACTCTTGTCTAGAAAAGATTTATTATATTTAATATTATGTCAGCTGGTTGTCATTAATCCTAAAGTGGGACTGCCCAGGGTTCACCATGACACAGTTGATACAAAACTAAATACAACAGTCCAATTATACTTAGTGATTAATGTTAGTTAAACACATAATCCCTAGGAGAATCCAGACCCATGAAGGAGAGTTGGCCACTGCCACCTCCTGCCCACTTTTCACAGGAACTCGGGGGAAGATTGCCAGTTCCAACCATGTTTGGAAGTGTGTCACACAGAGCTGATTGATCAGTTACCAGATCTGGAACTGGACTGAAAACAGGAAGGAACAGCAGAAGCAATGTGGCTGTTCTACTCATTAGCAAAGCAGAACCTGAGAACAGCATTACTGCTTCTTCTATCCCCTGCAGCTCTTGATGCTCTTAAGTGGCTTCTCAGGTCACAGTGGTCCTGCTGCTAATGTGCTCCCTGCCTCAGACTTGTTGCAAAGAGTGACAGCACTGTTGCATCATTGAGACACTCCCATCCTCCTCCTCCATCACCCCCTCTCCCCCTACAGTCAGCTAGCCAGTTAGCTAGGGTGCCAACAAATATAATACCGTGGCTGTTTGCCTGGGGAAGCAGACAGGTTATGTTCCTTTCCCTGGACAAGGCATGGCCCCTCCACACTCAGACCATTTCTGTAGGTGGAAAATACTATTCCTGCTGTAGCTCCCTGTCCCTGCCCAAGGCTCCCAGCCTGATCCCCAAATATAAATCAGTCGGGACAGACCCTTAAAAGGATCAAGACAAAACCGTAATCATCAATAAACAGAAGCCTTGGTCTTACCCCTGAAAACAAACATAAAAAGGAGACATCCTGGCTATAACTCTGACCCCTGCCCAGAGTCCATCAATATCTTACATTAAACATCAACAAGATAGATGGAAGGGTGGGGAACCTAAAGAAGGGAAAGTTAATCCTGATTCTCTTTGATGGGACAATGTCTGTCTGACAAGCCTTGCACTTTCAAAGACCAAAAAAGGCACAATTACATCACCCTCCAACTTGTCACCATTCCAGCATTGTAAGAGAGACAAGGCAAAGAATCTTAAAGGGAAGAAAATAATCTTGGTCACTTAGTTAATGGTCTCCAGAGGAAGGGCATCTGTCCCAATTGGCTGGAGAAGAAAGAAAGAAACTCAAGACAGACACCTTTCAAGGTTATGTTAAATAAACTTTTTTCAGAACTCCAGCCTGAGCAACCAGAAGAACAGGAAGTGACAGACAAAATCCCAGAACAAAAATCTTGCCCTTTAAATTCTAAGGAGGAGCTTTGTGTCCCCATCCATCCACGATTCGGAGATTCAGAAATGTCGGTGCCGAGCAGTCTTTTCCGCCGCACCGGTCGGGCCTGCCGGGGCGCTGCGCACCGAAGCGCTCGGTGCCGGGACAGGGCGCGCCGAGGGAGGATCCGGCCTCAGAGCCGCCTCCATCAGGAGCTGTCGGAGTCTAAAGTCCCGCTCCTTTCTTGTCCTCGGCTTGAAGGCCTTGCAGATAGGGCACTTATCTGCGGGATGAGCCTCCCCAAGGCACTTCAAGCAGGAACTATGCGGGTCGCTGGTTGGCATATGCTTCCCGCAGGACGCGCACGGCTTAAAGCCAGGAGCCTTGGGCATGGGCCCGGCTGTGCGCCGGGGGGGAAAAGGGGAAAAACACCCCCTAAACCCCCGATAACAATATTACAACTATATATATACACTACACAACTAACTAACTAAAACTTGAATAACTATATATACAACTAACTATAATAACAATAATGAGAAGCTAGGGATAGTGAATAGCAGCTAAGCCGCGGTTCACTGTTCCAACGACCGTCAGGGGCGGTAAGAAGGAACTGAGGGGGCGCTG